TTTTCTTAAATGGTTATTGACCACAAAATAGTAGTGATGAGTCTAAAATAGATATTGATTTAGGAAATAAAGTTTTCTTAAAAGGATTGAATAAATCTATTTTCTATAGTCGTCCTGATCATTGTAGTGCTTTTCCGGCAAAACTCATCGCTATTAGAGAAACTATAGCTTGTCTGACAGTGGATAATATATTTAATAACAATTTTCACAATAAAATTTTGAATTTATTTATCGACCTGCTTTTTTAATAATGGTTTTTAAATAATTCTTATATTGCAATATAGACAATAGAATAAATAGGATTACGTAGATATAGTTTTATTAATATTAATTTATATTAGATCGTGATCCTGATGATGAAAGAGTTTAAATATAGAACACATTAATAAATATCAAACAAACGTTGAATTATTTAAGAAAAAGTGACCTTTAGCCGGATAAAAAAAATATATAAAAACCATTAGTAATTTTTACATCTCATCAGAAAATTCAGTTGTTTTAAATTGGCTAAGTTTAATCCAATACACATCCAGAACGGATTTTGACTGCTACACATCTCTAACAGAGATATTAATGAAGTTTAAGATTCCTTTACTCTGAGTATCCGATCATAGTAATGTTTTCGGCAAATTCAATGCTGTGGAGCTAGTCACACGGGGGTAATAATTTGGAATACCTTAAAAATCTAGGCATATGGATGATAAGCTGCAAACATTAGTTGAATTCTGTCTATGCTGATAGTAGGACTTTACGATATCTGTACATATGTATGCAAGTTGAACGCTTTATTTTCGGAACAAATCCTCCTTGTAACTGTTGAGAGATTGCGAGGTTCCGGTTTACTTTTTTAGGAGATTTCTTCTTTGAGGATCGTGATTAGTTTCAAAATGTCCCTCCAAAGAGCATTTTGAGCTTCACCAAAGATTTAAGCTGGTTTGAAATCCTTTGAGTTCTTATACGATAACACGATACGCCAATAGGCTTAACTAAATCCTTAGGATCATCGATATAACCTAATCTAACTTAATTAATTTTATTAATCAATTAATCAGTTGCGACCCTACCTTGCTTGACTTTTGCTTTTTAATAAAATTATTTAATATAAAAAAAAAACATTTCTTTAGGGCTTAATGCATTTCTCATTTTATTTATTTTTTTGACTTGGACATCTGACAGTTAAAAGCACTACTACCAAAACATCAACTGCTTTAAGGGCTGTGTTTGCTGTTGTTGTTGTGGTTGTAGTTGCTGCTGTACTCCTCGTTATTCTCTCTGATTTGTATTTGCTTTAAACTTTCTGTTGACTTAAGCATAAATTTGCATTTTAATATTTGTATGAATTTACATTATTTTGTTGTTGCCAGTGTAACTCCACAAGTTGCTTGTTTCTTTTTTGTTTTTTTGTTTTTTTTTGTTTTTTTGTTTTTTTGTTTTTTTCCTTATGATTGTTTCTATTTTATTTGCTCATGTATTTACTATTCATAGTGTTGTGCTTTGTTTTCTTTTGATTATTTTGTTTTGTTTATATGCGTGTGCGTGTGCGTATGTGTGGTGTGTGCGTGTGTGTTTCATTGTTTTTGTCTGTTGCTCACTCAGCGCTTCGCTGTAGGGCACAGCATTAACTTTTTAGGGCGGGCGTAAACTTTAATGTGTTTTTAATTACCGACTTAATTAAGTCAAGTGATGGAAATTATTTTCAACCCAGCGTTCAAGGAATAAACGCGCTTAATTAATTCATATTGTTTTATGTATTTAAGAAGAAAATTAATTAAGATTTTCGCATTTCTTTTTAATGATTTTCATTTGTGAAAAAATCAAAGTGTTTAGGTCCCGGGACGTCAAAAATATCCACGTAATCTTGCAAAATTAATTACCCATACATAAGTAAAGTACTTTTAAAAATTTCGATTATATAAAAAAAAAATACAATATGGAAATTTCTATATCATTCAATTAATTATATGAAATTTTGCATATATTTATGTTTTAATGAAATAATTTTACTAATTTTTTTTTTGTGTTTAAATTTTCTTTAACAGCAAAATTTATTTATATTAATGACACCTTCACCTAAAGGATCTGCATATATAAATTTTGTTCGTCCGCTTATAGCAACAAAAAGGAGACGTGACAGGTAAGGTTTGTTAATGTATGTGTGTCTGTTTTATTGTAAACACATTGTTCCAATGTCACCTCCTGTAAAAATCTCTGATATATCTAAATACGATATTGGGTAAAGGGATTGACTGTATTTTGTTGAGCTATATTTGGCATGGCCAAGTATTGATGGAGTAAACAATCAAATCCCTACGATGCAGGATTTGCTTACTACACTCAGAAAAATATTCTCTAAATACATACAAATTATATATGATAAAGAAGATATGAAAACCAACATGTGGTATGGTTGAATCAAAATGAAGCGTCGAATAAGGACATTTTGGCCTGAAATTTAATTAAGATCCGGTTAAATCAACCAAATTGTTTTTCTTTCCATGAATTGTGTTTCTCGATACAGTGTGTTTTTTAACAAACTGACATGCATTAAAAACAGAATTGCTTAGTTGAGCACACCTCTCCAGAGTTTTTTGCTGTGTGTGCGCCTTCTCTTGTCTTGTGCATCAGGTATAGTTAATGCTTCCTCAACTTGTTCGCTTCACACTCAGAAAAACATGCTCTAATCACATACTTGTTAAATTGAACTGATCATTTTTTTAGAAAAATTTTAGCTCATGTGGCAAAAAAGATATGAAAAATCAAATCTGATATGGTTGAATCAACATGACACGTCGAGTAAGAACATTTTGACTTAGGATTTAGTTAAGATGTGATTAATTCAACCAAATCATTTTTCTGAATGTATCAAAGACACCTCTTTACCTCTTTTTCAACCAAGTTGCGGTTCAAATTCTTTTTTTTTTGCTGGAGTATCGTTACATCGTACATTTTCACGACATGTACAAACAAGCGAAGCCGCTGCTTGTTAATTACTTAAATTATATCAATATCATCATAAAGCTCGTATAGTTCATGGTTCATTCGGATGCAGTAGACGTTGCTTACTTGTAGAGAACCAAGTTCTTACGAAGAACTTTTATCTCAAAAACTTCCAGTGCTATATCATAATTTTCTGCTAGCGTCTATGCTTCAGCAATATGCAGAAGTATAAGTAGGATGAGCAACCTATAGAGTATATATAGGTATAGAGTATATATACAGGCAGTACGTTCCCAGGGGAACATTGGGCCATAGTAGCACTTATAGGCAATGGTAATTCTTCTTTCAATGTATAGGATGCACTCATTTTTGCTTCTTCCGTCGCACTATATTGGTATTTTTCTATCTGTTATAGTTAATCATATTTGGGCTTAAACTTTTACTATTGCTTTTGGGATTAAAAAATATTTAACTTCATCTCAAAAACATTATTAAAGGAAAACTTCATTATTCCTCTACTGGTTCGGTATATACCGAATTTTAATTGTCTAATTTTAATTTTACTACACTGTGCGGCAGTGCCAAAGTAGCTGAAATTCTTGACAAATTTGAATTTGACATTTGTACCAGTAGCTGATATATGCTTAATTTTGCCCTCATTCACCGTTGAAACCATTTTCGCAGATATGTGGAAGATATATCAACCGCAAATTAATATTTTGAATATATTGCATGCAATTTAAATACAATATAAGGTAGTCAGAAAATTGCACGATCGTTGGAAAACATATATTTAGTTTAGAGAAATAAAACAAAAATGCTTAATTTTATTATTTTTGTTATACATATTTGACCAATTCGTTATATTGTTTAGTTAATATTTTTTTGTTAGGTTCCTCTCTGGTATTTTTTGTTGGATACAATGATGTTTCGTTGAATTTTGCCCATAATTTTCGGGGTAAAATTATTTACAGTTAAAGTACATAATATTTAATTGCTGCCAATTTATTTTGTGACCAAAACTTATTAAATACCCCACGTAAATATTCAAATTACTACTTAACGTCACACATGTCTGAGCGCAGAGTCTGAAAGTATAAATTACTTACGTCATTAGATATAGTAGGTCTCTCAACATTGTTTAGAAAAAACTTGATGTAAACAAATTCAATTTCCTTAATGTAACTAAGCTGACTTTTATTACCCACAGCATAACAACTGCCAACAAAACCAAATACTGGCAGTTTATAGAAAGTATATGACTTTCTTAACCAGTAATAATAAACTCAAGTTCAGAAATACAAATATTTCTTGAACGGATCAAGAAAAAATCTCAGTGAATGGTCACAAATTGCAATAACAACAACAAAAACAAGTAAACAATTTTTTGTTTTCTGCTTTTTTTTTGGGTGAAAAATGTCTGGATCCAAGTTTTTTTTTTGTTTCAAAAGCCTTTGAGGAGAATTTATACATTTTTTATAAGTATAAAATGCAATTTCCTTTGTAAACAAATTGGCAATAAATATAAATGAGTGGAAAAGTGAAAAAGGTGTATAAAAATGAATGAAGCAAACTGGACTGCTAACTAGAAAATGGAAAAGCAAATGGAAAATCAGCTTAAGTACCATATTAACTTCCGCTTGTTCACTTCCCATTACCTTTGGCGTAAGTACCCATGTAGAAAATTTCCTATTTAGCACTTGAAAAAAAAAATGCAATGTGGCAAATTGCGTTGTTCGCTTAGTTTGCGTTTTTAACTAAACGCCTTTACAGGCTGATGAGCAAAAAAAATTTAAAAATTTTTTACTTCAAAAGTAAATAAATAAATAAAAAAATATGGCAACTATTAAAGTCACGCACACACATAGCAGCATTTCAAGCGTATTTGAGCTTTGCTCTACCCAACTCAACACTGTCAAAAATCATTTCAGCCCAGCGCTTGTAACCCAATTTACTCACCTTAACTCACTTTTACTCAACATTATTCAACAGTTCAATTCAATTTCACACAACAAAAATAACTAAAAAAAAGTATAAATAAAAAATAAATTTTTTTGTTACAGGTGGGCCAACTATCATGGCAAGCAATGTACAACAACAACAATTACAACAATGTATTAAAAAGCAACAACATCAGCACAACTACCACCACCAATACCAACCACATCGACTTCAACACCTCCAAAATCAACAACAGCATCAAATTCAACAACAACAGCCACAGTTACAGCATAAGCAGCAGCATAATGGCGTTCTGTTATTGATACAAGGCTGGTTCTCAACACATTCAAGCTCATATAAATTGTTGCATTTTGGTGTAGTTGCCACATTGTTGCAGTTGCTGTTGGTGTTGCTGACACTCGGACATGCAGTACACGCTGAAGGAAACGTTGGTAAGTACATACAAATTATGCTGTCTAATTTTTAAAAGCATTATTGCAACATCAGTGACTACAACGACAACAACAACAACTACTACTACTACTACTGCAGCAACAACAACGTTTCCATAGGTTTACTCTTTATTTAGTTTCAGTCTTTAAAGTAAGCTAACATACCCGCAGCAGTTTTTACAAACAATTTACTTTGTTTCAATTTGTCAGGGTTGTTATACGTGCTTCCTGGTTGCGGGTACTCGTAGTTTTCTTCCAAAATTATTTATAGTATAAACTTGACTGCGAGCTTTGTTTGCTTGCATCCAAAATGATGGTACTTTAACCCTTTATAAAGATCAAAGATACAAACGTTAAACTTTTGTTTTTGCCTTAAAGTAACTATGAAGTGAAAAAAGAGTTATATTATTCTACTGATTAAAAAGGATTTGCTTCGGTTTCACACAAAATTTACTTAACTAATAATTAGTTTACTAAAGAATAATTACATATATACCTAATTAAGTTTAAAATTAGTATTTTATTAGGAAAGTAAAACCTAACTAAATAGCAAAATACTCGCAGTTGATTGTATACTTTTTTTACTACATAGTTTTCGACATTATACTCATCATAATCAGCCTTGATATCCCTCCTGTTAAAACACAACTATGCTCTTTTCAATAAGACGCCTTTACTTTGCTACATCCTTTGTAGCTTCTTTTTAAATCAGGAAAATAGATTTTTGTAGGTCTGCTTCAAAATTATCTATCCTAAAATTGTCCAGTTTTAAAGTATTGGTTTTTAAGTCTAAAGCAATATATTGTAAATATCCCAACACAATAAATCAATGGCACTTGGACATTACCAATACTTAAATTAGGAAGTTATAATAATCTAATAATTTTCTTTATCCTTTGCGGATTCTTGACACTTCTGTTATAAATCAACTTTGTTCTTTTAAAGTATACGGCTCCAATTTTCTCTATGTTTTATTACTTCTTTTCAAAACGACACAATAGAGTATATCTATTTCAAAATCATCTATCTATTCAACTTTAATAAGAAGAAAGCAATAAAAACCAACGTATGGTATTGTTGAACCAACAGAATGCGTCGAGTTGAACATTTTGATCTGAGACTTAAAATTTGGTTATGGATAGGCTGGCATCCACTACGGGCTGAAAGATCTTTTGTGCAGCCTTTCACCCAACTAGTCCAATTCCAAACTTTTGAAGAATTTTATGATAACTGTGGGCCATATTTTATTTAGGTGTTTAGTGCTCAAAAATATACTGCTCAGAAGGGTTCCGGGCCTACAAAAGGTGTTTTTGATCCCTTTTGGCTAACACATCCACCATTTCATTACTTTCACCCCTCATGTCCAGGTTTTTATAGTAGAGACATAGAATTTCTCGTCGCTAGAATGTTGAAATTATTAAAACAGTTCCAAACCAATTTCGATTGAAATGTGAATGCCATTAGTGATTTCTGGTTAAATTAACCAAAGTATCGTTTCTTTAGTCTTATTCATGTTTTGGTTGAAGCGTTTCACCGATATATAACTATGGTCCCAAATATCGCATATTTATTTTAACGCTTACCATTTTAAAATACTTATCCTTTAAGTTGGAAAAATAGGCCACATGACTGCCATTTTTAAAATATTTTAAAATATGGTTAGAAAAATATGTGTTTTTAACGGGATGATATCATAAGCTACACTTCACATCCTAAATAAGGTCTCATACATGAAAATTTTTCAGACAAATAATTGCACGTCTTAAACAGTATCTACTGCTATTTGTTGTTAAGTCCGACCTTTTTGAAAAAATTGACAATTATCCATATTATTACCAATTTCCCGAGAAATTTGAAAATATAGTTTCAACAGGATAGCAAGACAATCCATATAACAGTTGGGTTTTCATACTCAAAAATTTTTCAAGCATATAATTTCACATTTTTTTGCAAATCGGCTATTAAGATCAAGTATGCAAAGGATCGAGTAGATTTGTTATATTCACAAAGTCTCTGTAAATAAAAATATTCAAGAGCTGGTCGTGATATATGAATATCAGGTAGATCGGTATTTTACACAACCTTGATCTATCTTTAGCTAACTGAAGAATGTAAAGTAAAATGTTTTTTTAACGATCATCAGTATAATATGGACCCGTGCCGATAGAGATATATTCGGGAAACTACCAACACTATATAAGTAACAAAATCCTAAAACCAATTTATTAAAAAGAATTTATTTAACAATTTTTTGCTTGATATCCTGCGAAATGCTATATACCTATTTTTGCAAATATTTATTCAGCTCCAATGATGTTTGCTATTAATTTTTACACTTGGATGGTTGGACGGCTTGAAACAATAATTCAACAAATATAAATAAACTTGAAAAAAATGTGTGTATCGGTGAAATTTCCTCAACATTTTTGATAAGTAATAGTTATGGCAACAAATATTTCGCCTCTGCCTCCCCGTAAACTTAAAACAGTGGAAAAGTTATAAAAAGAATTATCAGCAAATATGTGAAAAAATTAAATTTTTTCAAAGCCCAGTAGTAAGTGGGACACAAGTGCGTTTTTCATTTACAGAAAATCCTTTGGTTTTTTTTTTATTTCGCAGTATTGAGTTTGTTATTGTTATAAATGTTGTTGTTGTTGTACTTGCTGATGTTTGCCTAGTTTTAAATTTCTATATGAAGTTCAAAATAAACAAACGCCTATTAATGCACAAAGGTGTACTAAATAAACAAACCAACATATGCCACACAATTACATATACGAGTATGTCATGGGTGGATATGAGCCAATACCATACTTTTTAAGCTTATAACATGGGATGCATGGCTGTAGGTTACAGTTCTGTTACAGCGCTGCTACAGTGCTGTTATTGTGCACTGTAGCAGCTGCAAAACTGCTGAAACCAAAAATATGAGTTCATATGCCCTTAAGCGAGTAAAGCTGATTTAAACCAAACGCACTAACAACTGTTGCTATATTATGTACCAAGTGCATGGTATAGCATTTGTCCTGATATTTATGTAAATGTATACCTGCATACATGCACCAGCTAATACGTACGTAGCACTGTTAAACATATCTACTGTACGAGAATTCTCACTTAAAATTGAAATAATATCAACAGGATGCTACCTGGGATTTATTGATTTGGCTATTTGCCGAAAGGAATTTTTTTTTCTTCATCAAATGTGTTGGTTTATTTGAAACTATGTGTGTGCATATAGGCATTATTGTGTATTCTTGAATAATAATGTGTCTACCTCAGCCCCATCAAATCGCAATCAAATTGCATTTGCTGCCTTAAGTACAGTCTTTGATATGATTTTGCCCAAATTATGCACATCGAGATTGATTTTGCTTACTGAAGCATAAATTTAATAAGCCACTGTATAAATAGTGGGTGTTTGCTATCTGGTTGCCCTGAAATGACACTTTCGTCGAAATGCAGTTTACCATATTTTCATAATTTTCACTTGGAAACATTTCAATTTAAGAAAACCTCACACTAATGTGGTTATTTGATATATAGATTCAGTGTGCACAATAGGTAAACACAAAGGAAATATTTTATTTGATTTAAATAAATTTAATTAAAATAATAATTTCTTTGAATTAATTGGAAATAAACCAACTTTCGCTTAAACTAATAATATGTAGATCGAATTTAAATTTTATGCAATAATATATATTTTTAATAAAAAATTTTTAGTATAGTTGCATTTTTTCAGTTACTAATTTATTATAATTATAATTTATTATAATAAAATAATATTAAAATAAATTTATTATAATATTAAAAATACTTTTGAAAATACAACTAAACGCACTAGTATATATACTATATATATATACTATATGTATATATACAAGATGCACACCAAACTTAAAGGGACTTGACTAGATAATATAAAGGCCAAAACGCTGACTTGCAATGTATCTCTGAATACTTTAAAATCATGACACCAAAGAATTTAAGTGTGAAAAATAAAATTCAGCTCTATAAGTAAATAATTAGACCCAAACTAGTTTATGGCTGTGTTACTTGTGGCACTGGTGCGCTATTCAGTATTAGGAAACTTGAAATTTAGCAGAATATTGTACTGAAATGTATGCTAAAAGCTTTATAATACATCAGAAATGAAGCCATAGACAAAGTCTTAAGTGTCAGGAGTGTGTAAAAGTATATTAAAGATAGAGCCCTAAAACGTTTCGATTCTGTACGCGCGCACCCTGAATTGTACTTTTTCAAATCAAATCCAATACATATATACCTCCAGAATGGTGTGCTACATAACACATTTTCAGAATTCAACGAAGCTCTTATTACAAGAGATCTTCTAAGTAGTCACAGACACTATAGAGTAAAAGTGCTTTATACACTAACTTGCGTGTCATCAAAGCCAAGAAGAAAAAGAAAGAATTATTGTTAATTAAATGCCTCTATAATTTGAAGATCACTATGCAAATATGTAGGACATTGTCTCTCACACAAAATGGGTTTCCGTGTGCTTTATGTAAAAGTGAAGAATCCAAACCTTTTCACCGAAATATTCTGTTACCCACTTTTTTTAAGATAGAAATTCGCTTTAGCCTTGTGACATTCACAAACTTAGGAATATGTTAAATCTATATTTTTGGTCACAGTGTTTCAAAGACAACAACGACAGTCTCGACTGTTAGTCAATTACTGGTTTATCAATGAAACTCAATCCATCAAATAAGTCCCCGCAGATTGAAACATATTTTACCAAAACTAAAATTGAATAAAATATAAAAGTTTAAATGTATCTATTGAATGTTAAATAGAACTAAACTCTTTGAATAAGATATTTAAAGCATTTTATCTCATCAAATTTTACAACTACTTCATAAAATACTGTTTTCAGGGTTTTCTAGCTTTTTTCTTTGACAGTAATGTCATCTAAAATATTTTGACATACTTGTGATATTTGCTGTCGTAAGTTCAATTTGGAACTTGACATT